TTTGTTTTTTTTTCTTTAATATATATATATATATATAAAGACAAAGGTCCCTTTTACACACACCACCCACTCACTGTGCTAAATAAGTATATACCTTGGCTTTAATGTATGGTCCTACCACTTAAGTTGATTTCAGAGGTAGATGAGAATAAATTAATCTCTACACTTTTTTTGTCATGAAAATTTATCTGTACCTAATAAACATATATTTCCTTGTCCCATGAATGTTATTATGTTACGTTACGTCACAGAGAGAAATATAGAGCCCAACAAGTAATGCATATTTGGTGGATTAGCGCACTTGGATTTGTCTTGTTTAACTAAAGTTGGCATCAACACATGTGAATGTGTTATTAAACGTGAATTTTATTTTTTTCTTGTTTAGAATTTGAGAAAAGAAACAAAAAAACTTATAAGTGTTTTTTTTTTTTCAAAAAACAAACAAAAATAATAAGAATTTCTTATTTGTTTAAATTAGCTCATGTATACATTAATTTATCAAAGCTTATTTCTATATTTATTTCAAATTATTAATTTTAATTGATAAAAGTGATTATGAAAAAGTTCTCCAAATAAAATTATTATTTTTTCGTTTGAAATTTTGTTTGACATATGGCATGAGAAATATTTATCAAGTTTTCTTATAATGAATGTGATCATTTTGATAGTTGTCATATTTTAAATAATATTGTATTAAATTCCGCAATTGAAGATTATTGAGAAAAACCAAGGTTGTTCAATATTGCTGCCTTCCACAGTAATATAAATGGCTTCAATACACCCCCCACTTTTGTAATTTGACTATTGCGACCAATTAAAACCACAGAATTTCTCCGCCCAAAAAGACCATGCTATAAAAATGTATAAATATAGGTAACACATATTGATATCACAATTGTTTTAATTTCATCTTTCAATTTTTGCTATTATTAATAATACAAGATATCTTTATTTGTCTTTCTTTAAATGATATTTTCATAGTTTTAAATGACATTTAAAATTAAAAATATAAAGTGCTAACCAATAGTTTAATTTAAAAAAATATCTTCAAAAAAATAAATATATAAATATAATAAATATTAAAATCGAACTAGCTAAATTTCTCATGCCTTTTAGATTTGTCTAAATGTTTGAATCTTATTTTCGAAAGATTAAAAAAATTGTTAATAATAATCGTCATTTGTCAGACTTCCAGTCTTTGGTGTCCAATAGGGAGTAGTAAAGTTGGGTTTTGCAGGAAAGGAGGACTGGATTTTTTATTTAATTTGGGCTTGACAAAAATATGTTTGGGCCGAAAAATGAGGTAAAGACGGATCCTATTGATTAAAATGATAGTGAATGGGCCTCTCCCTTATGTCGTAGTTGATTATTTTTTGGTAATTTTCGTTATTAATCATGTGCGGGATAATTATTAATAATTTTATCTTGTTAATTATATGACTTATGTAATTCATTAATAATGAGGTTTAATTACATTTATACTTCTTTTTGTAGTGCTGAAAATATGATATAATGATGTAAATGAAATTGGATGTTATGAATATGTGGACATTCCCACTAGACATAAGTTGTAAAATAATGCGTGGTTGGCTTTGGATTTCCTGAAAGGGCGAATAAACAAAAGTATTAGGGTTGCATTAGAATTTTCCCTTTTTTTTAGCCATCTAGTCTAAGTGTTCCAAATGGAACATAAATATTTTACACACTCACCCACTTTGCTTTCGAATCCCATTCTATTCCATCTATTTCTTTATCAGATTAATCTCTAATCAATTTTATTGGACTTTATAATAATATTGTAATGGGATATGTCATACTTATAAATTTATGCCATTTTAAATTAAGTGTACATTTTTGTGTTTCATCATATACATTCATAATTATTTATCCAAACAAAAGATTTGTCAAATAGTTTAAAAAACACTTTAGTCACCAAATTAATTAGTTTGTCATTTAAACTTGTAAACATTAAATTTAAAAGATTAAAAACAATTTTTTTAAAACTCATTTTAGTTTTTAACTATACTATTTAAGAATTAAAATCATATATTTTTCAACTTTTAAATCTTAAAACAAACATTTTTTAATTTAAAGAGCTATAAATAAACCGCTTTCAATCTCACCATTAAATTAATATTACAATATTGGTCATGTGATTAAAAAAATAGCTTGTAGTTTAAAATTAAATAATACAAATATATTTTATCAAATATACTTAATTATTATTTTTAATTTAGTTTTTTTTTAAATAATTCAAAATTTTGAGAAAAATTTCGATAATTTTATAATAATAAAAATAAGTAAAGTAAAACAAACACATAGAATTAAAATAAAAAATACATATTTTGAGTTCTGATATTAATTTTTTTAAAATTCAGTTAACAGTTCTAACAAAATAATTATTGTTTTTTTAGAATTTTAAAAGTTAAAAACTAAAACTAATTTTTAAATTCAGAAAACAAACATATCTTAAATTGATACTGTGTTTTCCCTGTCCTCCATGCACATATTACCTTTAGTCTTCTTTATTTTTATATGTATAAAGTTTAAAATATAAATATATAAATATATTTGAGATAAATAAATGTTTATGATTAAGATAAATAAATAAAAGAATATGTAACGTTAAAATAAATTATATTTTTTTCAATGATAAAAACAATAATTATAAAATGAATCATTTATATATTGTTATTAGATAATAAAAAATACAGCATTATGAATATTAAAAAATCCACACAGCTAAAATTTTACACAACACATCACAAAACAAATATTTCTTCACATATTGACAAAACAATCTTTCTTATTCCTTCACTTATTCTCCCTTCATTGTGTATCTACTCAACCAAAACATTATTCGTATTTTCAACTTTTCACATTCATTCTCTAAAACCAAACTAACCTAATGTGTAAAAAGTTTAAATTAATATTTAATATTATAACTGAATTTTAAAATGCAAAATAACTTACAAAATAATCTCCCATATCCAGTAAAATTAATCATTAAAATGATACAAAAATGACTAAATAGACCTACAAAACTAATAATAAGAACTTTTACGTGTTCGGACTAACTTAATATTTCATTTTTAATAACTAAATTAAATTAATTTCATTACTTTTTTTATTATATAAAAATATTTAGAAAAAAATTGCGAAATCAGGACATTTATGGGGCATAAAAGAAAATGTTAATGTTAAATAGTGTGACGTATGATTTTTTTAATAATATTATTGTGCAAGAAAAATTCGTAATGAAGTTTTCATCAGAAAAAAATTTTCTTTATAAGTACGAAGGGAGGAATGGTTACAGCGAGAAATTCTTCCTCCCATATCACGTGTTTCTCATTCTTCTTCTTTTGTCTAAAATTCAAGCAAGGATACTCTACTCCTGCAGGATCTGGTGAAACAGGAGAGAGTTTGAATTAAGTGAGAAAACTTCGGTAGAAATACCACACCAGGTAAAGGGAAATTTAATTCATTCAATATATGAAATTGAATTGCTGGGTACTCTGTGAATAAGGAATAAGAGTGGAAATTTGAACATTAGAATAATTGATTTTGAAGATTTTTCATGTTTTGCAAAACTTGAAATTTTGTTGAAATTCTTGAAATTAAGGATGAATTATATGATAAAATTTTTGTTTTCAACTTAAATTAGATATAAGTCATGTTTAATTTGAATTTGGGACTAGTTTGGTTGTCTAAAACAGAATAATTTGAAATCTGCAAAAATCGGCAAAATATGATATTGTAACGGGGCGAAGGAAGAAGAAAGGGATATGATGGGGATTTAAAAAAAAAATCAAGGGTAAAATAGTCATTTTACATCCTAGGGACATACATGAAATTTTTGAAAAGGTTTAAGGGTAAAATAGTCATTTTCAGGACATGGAAGGAATTTTAAAAAATGTCCAAGGGTAAAATAGTCATTTAGGGACATACATGAAATTTTTAGAAAAATTAAGGGCAAAATAGTAATTTAATGATTTCGAAAAAGATTATGGAAAATATTTCGGAAGTGATTTCGGATGTGATTTCATAAATGATTTCGGAAAAAAGAAGAAGAATAAGAATATATATATATATATATATATATATTTTAAAATATAGAATGAATGTAGTAGTTTTAAAGATTTAGTAGTGTGTTGTGACGTGTGTAGGTCAGACTGAGTCTATGGGCTGATGACCATAATCAACCATGAGATGTTATGTATTGACTAGATTGAGCCGGAGGGTTGATACCCAGAATTAGTCACATACTATTATTTATGGACTTGAATGAGCCGTGAGGACAGGTGGTCCAAAATTCGGCAAATGTGAATGATTTTTGTTGTGTTTGAATGATACTAGTGTAATAACTATGTCGGAGGATTCTGAATGAGGTCTCATACTTCACTGATTGGTCGGGTCAAGTAGACTACGAGATCAGGTGGTGAGAAGTCGATGGAGGATGACTGGTGGCGCGTTCGGAGGGGTACTCCAGTATGAGTGATGAAGGGCGCCAGTAATCCTACTTTGTGTGGAGGGTGGTCAGAATAATATTGCGGGTACCGATCACAATGTGTCCACAGATGATAGCCTTTGAGAGTTCGAGCATAGTTAGGGTATAGTTCTGAAATGTGTCTTAGTGGGTTGATGATTTCGTAATTAATCATAATATATAATTATTACTTCTATATATGTTTTATTATATCGAATGATTTAATGTACTTACCCCTATATTTTCATGTGGATAAGACTTTGATGATCATTTTTATGTGGGAGTAGATAACTTCGTAGGAATTACTTTTACATATGTAATATATAAATAAATTATATTACTGCATTTTGAGTTCTCATTAGTAAACCGAAATTTGAATTTATCTTATAATTACAATAATATAATCCAAATAAATGTTATTATTAGTTGTTTACTATTTTACGACTACATTCTTATTATTATAATAGTAAAGAAAGAAATAACATGGCTAATGATAACAATAACAAGAAATTTCTCAGGTTGGGGTTTGGGGAGAGACATTTAGATCCAAACGAAAGTTCTCTTCCACGTCACCCTCCTTCTCATTCTTCGTTGCCTCCTTCACTTGCTGCATGATATCCTTCTCCAAGGCCGCCACGTCATCGCCGTAGCTCTTGAAATACTTCACCGCCGTGTTTATTCGGCGGAGAATGGCGTAGAACTCCTCCACCTCCTCGTCGGTGACCGCCGTGGCATCCTCCTCGCGCGCCTTCTTCTGGCTGGGCAACACGGCGTGGTCTTGAGCTTGCTTTCTCTTGTCCTTGGCGTCAGACATCTTCTTTGCTTGCTATTGGGGGTGGTGGCGGTGGTCGTTTTAAAGAATGCCCAAGCTACACTGTTATCGTAATTTGCCTCATTCGTGCCTTTCTTGCTTCCAATAGATGGATGACACGTGTTTTGGGTTATGCTTTCCATCGGTTGGTTCATAATTTTTTCTATTTTTTAATTCAATTTCTCAGTTTATATTAAATTTTATTTTTCCAACAATAGGGTTATATATAACAATTTATTTTTCTTAAATATTGATGCAATAGTTCATTTTTAAAATTTTATATTATTATTTATTCATTTTATTTTATTTTCATCAATTAACTAAAGAAATAATATTTTAAAATTATTCATGTTTAGAAAAATTGAGTGTTAAAATATCTTTTCTCAATAATATAAATGTAATTCCTCGTTTGAGGTAGGGTGGGACAAGTTAGAATCTTTTAGGAGTGCAAGGAATGAGATTTTGATTTTTCTAATTGGGTTTTTTCATGTCTTTAATTTCTCTCTTCCAAACTACATTAGTTGATTCACTGAAACAACTTCTAATATACTTATACTTGTTATATAATCACACAGTAAAAAGTGATTAATTTATAATACTATCTCCATTATCATTTATATATAAAAACAAAAGCCACGTCTTTTTATTCCCAAATATAGTAAATTTTATCTACATTTACTTTAATTAATAATACTTTTCTAGAATACTTTAAGTAATGCATGACTTCTAGTTCCACTATCAAAATATGTATTTTTTGTTTTATGATCAGGACATTATAGAAAGAATATTAATAATTGGTAAAATTCAAAGAACTTAACTTCTATCTTTAGTATATGTGTAATTGTTTTTTTTTTTTTGCCTTTTATAAATGCAAAATAAGGTAGTACCTAATTAACCTTTATTATTAATGATTTTTTTCCCAATATTATTTAATAAGGATAAATAAGAACAAATAAAAAATTGTATAAAACTTATAAAATATTAAACATTTCTTTTAAATCGTGTCTTATAATAAATTTGGAAGAAGTACCATCCAATAGTATATATTTTATTGATACTATATGTGAGAAACAATTATCGGAGAATCGCAAACGTGTTTATATAAGTAAGTGTGAATTGAAAATGTATTCAGTAAATTTTAATGATTTTTTTTTTTTTAAAGTAGTGCGTGTGACTTTTTTTACTTGAAAAAAAGTTTAGACTAAATAGTTGTGCTGAATAAACATACGAATCTTTTAAATTTGTGTTGTTATGTTCTGGCTGTTATACTGTGGCCTATGACGTCAAGCTTTAGCTCCTGAACTGGTGATGAATGAGATGGGACGTAATATTTACTTAAAGAACAGAAGATTAACCTTTCTTTAAACAACTTTTTACAAGATATTTTTCTTACGTTATTCGCTTTTGTTACATTTTGGTTTTCTTTTGATTTCAGTAGCCATGGAAAGAAGAGTTTTTCAACGAGTCGGAACTATATGGATGCCAAGATACTTTCCAGCAAGTGCTTCCGAATCACTCTATTCATAAATATCGATCGAGTTTATCCTAGCTGTTGCCTTCAGTGAAAAAATATGTGTGAACACAAATTTGGCGGCTGAATCAGACCAAATACTTTGTTTACAAAGATTATGTCATCCTTTGACATGTTCATATTATGAGCCAATATAGAAGAGAAGCATGTCCATGAGATCGAGAGTTGCAAAAATGCTATAATAAAGCTGTACGTATAAATCGTATAATATAACAGTATCAGATGTTTCACGCCTTCTGAACTTGTGCTTTATTTAGATATCTCCTTTCTTTTGGTATTTGTGCAGATTATACTATTGTAACATTTGGAACATTATGGAATGACATATTGCAAGAGAAGTAATAATGCTTTTTTAATGGAGAAGAATTAATGCTGAACATGCATTAATTATAAAACGAGAATCGTATAAAAATCGACGACTGTAGTTTGAACAGAATTCTTACTTCTGAAAGAGAATATTGGTTAAAAAAGATATAAAAGAAAGACAGTGACAGGCGAAACGAGAGGATGAGACTGAAAAACCTTATCAGCAAAGTTTATGTTATTGATACTGCCAAAGAGGTGTTCCTATGTAAAATGTTGGGTCCTAAGTGAACCACGTTTGTGCTTTGGTAAATCTAAAAGATGAGTGAGAGCACAAATGTGAAGGAAAATTGAGAAATCAGAAGAGGAAAAGTACAGCAACAATTCGTTGTCACTGTCTGTCGTGATTTCTTAGGGAGGGTTTTGCAAGTATTCCCATAAGAAAACAGAAGGGACCAAACTTCACTGGTGCATGTCCTATATAGCTAAAGCTCGAAGGATTTACTCAGTCGCGAATTTGGGGACCATTGCAGTTACCCTTATTATTTTTTCTTAATCTAACTATTAAATATAAAACATTTATAGAACCATTATATCATCTATAAGGATTTTTTTGTCAAGATAGTCTTCTGTAACTGTGTTTGGAGTTTCGTACTATTCATATGTGGGTTTATTGACTTTATTCCATGATTAAGCTTGGAATTCATTAACAGTGGCGTGACTTGCAAACTTCATTTTTGAGAATTACATATTCATTGTTTGATTAATAGTTGTAAGTTTCCTTAGAAGAAATATGATTCATTATTAACCTCATCACATCACTGCTCATCGACATAGAATGCTTCATCATGGGACGGAAGAAATATGAGTCATTTTGAAACATACTAATAAGAGGAAAGCTTGTGCTTTACCTTTGACACAACTAATCATGATAGGTTTCAAGGGACATCAATGTTATGTATAAAGTGTTGGCATCGAACTCTGACATGTAACTCCGACTAGCTGAATGATATTTCTTGAAATTTCGTTATCTCTAATCGTGGAGCAAGAGAGATTCCAACATTAAGGTAAAAAGTGTATTTTAAAGACTTGTGAGATTAAATATTTGGGTTTGAGAGATATGTATCATATAAATTGTAGCCATGTTTGTCCTCTGTATTAACATAACATGTCATGAAAATGAGGAATACATTAAAAATAAGAATTAGCAAAAGATAATATCTACCGAAAAAGTTACGATTAAAAAAATTAAATATTTTAATATTAAACACTTTGAAAACTATATTGTGATATCTAATATCTAATTTTCTAAGGTATTATATAAATATAATTATATGATGTAATATATGTGACGTGATTTGGTGTAATATATGTAATGTGATAAATAAAAATTTAATTTTTTAATTATTTTATTTTATATAGTATTTGAATTTTACCTGTTTAAATTGAACTACTAACTTATGGTATTTATTTTATATCTCACTTTAAATCATGTTAATTGTGTGTTTATATAAGAATAAATCTAGATTTATAAATAGAATATATAAAAATAATCTATATTTTAAATTATTTTATGTATTTTTATTATATATATATAAATATTTTTTGTTATTACAATTTTTTATTTATTGTAAAAAAAGAAAAAAAGAAAAGAATAATAATAAAATTGATGGAAAATATAAAACTCTGCATTATTTTAGGAAAAAAAAACATTTTTTTTATTAATTTTAACAGCTTTACACGCACTTCTCATTTAACTACTTAAAAACTAATTAAAATAAATTTAAATTAAAATCACTCCAGATATATTTTTAATTTGATTATCCAAAATTATTTTTAACATAATATTAATAATAATTAAATTAAAATTAAAAATTAAATTTAAATAAATTATTTATAAATATTTATTACAAAAATATTATGTCATTCTGATTCTCTATTATATCTAAAATATATAAAAATAGGGAGATGATATTTATTGATCCAAAATATTTAAAAAAAATATTATCTTGTTTTTAATACTAATATTTAATTTTACATTTTTTTAATATTTTTCTCAAAATAAATATTAGGGATGAGTATATTATTCTTTTATTTGAAATTTATATTTTTGTGTATAACGACTTTGGTTGCGAAAATAATATTATTGAAATAATTTCAACATGATCCAAGTTATGCCATAAAAAGAGAAGAGGCAAAATATAAATAAGCCAAAATTGTATTATGATGAAATACAAGAAACAAAATTCATGCATCTCACCAAAATCATTGCCAAGAAAACAAATAATTTGAACACAAATATACAATATATGCATCCCCGTTTAAGCTATTGAAATTACATGTGTACATTGAAATTGAAAAACTGAAAACTAATAAAATAGAAAGACGAAGAACAATATATTTTAAAATTTGCAATGAATTAAAAGGTAATTAAAACTATTTAATAATAAGATGGTGATGGAGACTATATGCTTTAGTTATGTTACATTGGAATTAAAAGCGTATTTTATATGGAATGCATTATCCATTTAATAAATGTACAGGAGGAGTCACGTGAATTAATTTTGAAGTTGTTACGGTACAATAAAAAGTTTGAATTTTAAATTTTATTTATTTATTTAAGTACTTAATAGAGTATGAAAACTTTTATTAATACGAAGTTTATTGGGAAGTTTGAAGAAAAGTTTACTTGAAAAATAATAATCTTTTTTGTTTTCTATGTTGTTTCTTAATAATATATTTATTACACAAATACTTAGATTAAGATTTTTTTTTTTGAAGTATGTGATCCCTCCCATCTTTCTAAGAAAATATTAATTTTCACACTTATCAAAGAAATTAATTAACTGCACTAAATTTTACTAATCTTCTAGTAATCTTGCTAAAATGTCTTTTTGTAAAACAAAAAGATATCTATGACAATGATGTAAAAAGAACACCCATTAAAAGTTAGAGTAATTAAGATAAATATCATTAAACGAAGAGGTTGTATTTTTTTTTCGTTTCTACTGTTTTTATTAAAATATTAATTTCATTTTTAATAAAAATAATATAATAACCAATTGAATGAAAGATACGGAAAACATTACACAAAAAGACCATATTTATATCAATTATATGTTTATTACTTCCCTGTTTCTTTTTAGACCAACACTTATTTTATTTATTATAAGTTGTAAGTGTTATTCTTTAATTAAATTTCAAGTTTCACTCTGAAAATTTAAATTTTCATTTATCAAATATACCTTTACTAAATATATTCTAAATTTTAGTAGTTAATTTACAAATATTTGTTTGAATAAATAAATTATTACAATTCTTAATTCTGTAAAATAACCTTAAAAGAACAAATAATAAGAAAAATAGAGTAATGAATGTGCTAGAAATTTAAAAGACTTGTCCTTGAAAATCAAGGAAAGTTCCCCACCTAATTTAACCATACATAAAATGATATCAAGAGGATTCAAATCTTGGAATTCTTATGGAGGGATAAAAATGATTATGACAGATACCAACCTATATTGATACTATTTATTAGTTTAATTTTAGTGTATGGTAAAAGTTGACTTAAAACTTATTCAATTTTGGATGTTAAGGTTGACAGTAACTGAAGACTAAAAAGAGAATCAAGGCCCAGTCACATTGAGTAAAACAAGTATGAAAATGGACAGTTTTTACTCAGCAGGCAACAAGATCTTCTCTTCTCATGTGTGGTTACCACAAGACATAAGAACACAGATAACTGCAGTGCAGTGTGAGGAATAGCTACTACCAAGGAACAGCAAGGAGTTGCCCATGTTCCAGAGTAAACCATTTTTCATTTTTTTTTTTTTTTTGAGATATCATCTACACATCAAAACCGTTTGTAGTACTAAATCATTTCCTTCTTTTCTCTATGCTTATCATCTCCCATTGACAACTATGACTTTACAACAAAGCAAAAATGAGTAATGCTAAGTGGGGCCACAATTCTCAGGGAGATAATAAGCAGCAATGTGTGGACCAATGGATGGCCCCATCCACCAAAGTCACGCGTAATGGATCCTATGAATCGCTCACTTACCCTCTTCAACAAGACAAACAATACAACACAGCAAGCTAGTTTTCATATAAATTAATGCCATCATAAGCCTCCAAAGAGCAGTGTAGTTCAACGTTCCATACTCTGGACTCAGCTATGGTTTCTTCTCCTACTCTCCTATCTCTTCTCTGTCTCTCTTCCCTTCTTCTTACTTGGTTTCTCTGTGTAGTTGCCGAAGAAGCAAACCTTTCCAACAAAATTGGCCAGGGCTACCGTCTCATATCCATTAAAAATACCCCTGATGGTACCCTTGTTGGGCTCCTCCAAGTTAAGCAGAAAAACAATATCTATGGCCCTGACATTGCCCTTTTACGATTATATGTCAAGTAAGTCATAATCAGTATCGTTATGCCTTCACATTCTCTCCATAAAACCATAAAAAATGCATGTGTTTAGTCCCACATTAAGGACTTGAGAAAATATATATAAGAAATGTGACTCATTTACATAATGTGTTTGATTTCAGACAGATTTGGTGTGGAAAGTTCTTCTCATTAGTCTTTTTAACATATTTCTGGTAGGGACTAAAATCTCCAAGAGAAACTCATTTTGAACCTTCTTCATTGTTTTTGGTTCTGCAGGCACGAGTCTGATAACCGTTTGAGGGTACACATCACTGACGCAAAGAAACAAAGGTGGGAGGTTCCTTACGACCTCTTGCCAAGGGAGCAACCACCAGGAGTGAAACAAAACATTGAGTGGTCGAGGATGAAGAAGAAGAACCAAATATCATTGTCAGAAAACAGTTACTCTGGCTCTGAGCTTGTCTTCAGCTACACTTCGGATCCGTTTAGTTTTGCAGTAACAAGGAAGTCAAATGGGGATACCCTTTTTGACTCCAGTTCAAATGAGTTGAACACATTGGTCTTCAAGGACCAGTACTTGGAAATTTCTACCAAATTGCCCAAACACGCTTCTCTGTATGGTTTTGGGGAGAACACACAGCCACACGGGATCAAACTGTACCCAAGTGACCCTTACACTTTGTATACCACTGATGTCTCAGCTATTAATCTCAACACTGATTTATACGGGGCACACCCTGTGTACATGGATCTCAGAAATGAAGGTGACAAGCCTTATACACATGGTGTTCTATTGCTGAATAGCAATGGAATGGACGTGTTCTATAGAGGAACCTCACTGACGTACAAGGTCATTGGGGGAGTGCTCGATTTTTACTTCTTTGCTGGACCCACGCCTCTGAATGTTGTGGATCAGTACACTTCCTTAATTGGCAGACCAGCTCCAATGCCTTACTGGGCCTTTGGTATGATTTTCTTTTCACTCTCTTATAGTCTTACAATGTTATTGCATGTTCTATTTTTAGTGTTCACAAATTCAACTAGTGTCGTTATGTGTGCGATTCACGGGAGCTTATACCGCATTTGCGAAAGCAATGGGTCACGGTTTCCAAATTTGCTGTTTTTTTTTTGCTTTACCATATCTGTAACAGTGAATGATAGGGATATTTTTTTTGTTTGGAAGAGTGAGGTCTGCAAAATTAGTTTAATTTCTGAATATATATCTGTATGGTTCGTAAACTGGGAAAGCTTTTTCGTCTTATTTTAATTTTGATAATGCCTTTTAGGTCCACATGAAAAGATATGGCCATGCATGAATGTGAAACTTAAACATATAATATAAAATAAAAGAGAAATCCTTAATAGAATCAAAGGAAATCGACAAAATCTTATATCATGGAATCAAACGTTGAACGTTTTGTTCATTTTTTTTTCGTACAGAATATTCCTTGCTAATTAACAAAACAACAAGAAAACCTTATCCACTATTTGCTTCTGTTTAGTATACTGAAAATAAAATAACATTTACCCGTAAACATTGTCAAGGAACTTCTGTTATGAATAAAGCAGTTTGTGGAATTTTTCAAGAACCATATGTGTATATGTATATCATTCTGTCCTCCTTTCTTTCTTTAAATTAGTTTTATAATCAAAAAATGAGAATGAAAGACGTTGAACGGGTATTTTAAACTTTTTGGGATGTTTGTGAATCAGAACTTTTTAATATAAACTATTTCATTTTACATGAATACAGAACAGGCATCTCGTTCAGTTTAGATCAATTCATACCCATGCATATAATCACTAGGAAAACATGGACAACACGAAAATTGAAAAGATTTTGTGTTGCAATTCTACTCGACCATTTACTTTTGATTTTTTTTCTCAAATACTCTCTTCAGTTTTTTGGGTTGGCATCATTGATCATTATTATGCTTTGCTTCCAGATTTAGCTTAATGATACCATAAATGGTTTACTTAATTACTTCCCAAATATAATGCTTTTCCTCCAAAACTATCATTTTGTATTGAGATAATTTGATGCTAAAAGGTATTTGACCAACATTTTTATTTGGTACATATTATTATAGGATTCCACCAATGCAGATGGGGCTATCATAATCTATCTGTGGTAGAAGATGTGGTCGAGAACTACAAGAAGGCTAAAATCCCACTTGATGTGATCTGGAATGATGATGATCACATGGATGGCCACAAGGACTTCACACTCAATCCAATTAACTACCCTCATTCCAAGCTTTTAGACTTCCTGGACAGAATACATAGCATTGGCATGAAATACATTGTAATCATTGATCCAGGAATCGCTGTTAACTCCAGCTATGGTGTATATCAAAGGGGTATGGCTAATGATGTTTTTATTAAGTATGAAGGTGAACCATTCTTGGCTCAAGTTTGGCCAGGAGCTGTATATTTTCCTGATTTTCTCAATCCAAAAACAGTTTCATGGTGGGTTGATGAGATCCGTCGCTTCCATGAACTAGTCCCTGTTGATGGCCTATGGATTGACATGAATGAAGCTTCAAATTTCTGCTCAGGAAAGTGCACAATTCCTAAGGGAAAAATGTGCCCAAGTGGAACAGCACCTGGGTGGATTTGTTGCTTAGATTGTAAAAACATCACAAGCACGAGGTGGGATGAACCTCCCTACAAAATTAACGCTTCAGGATTACAGGCCCCTATAGGCTTCAAAACTATAGCCACTAGTGCAACTCACTATAACGGGGTTTTAGAGTATGATGCTCATAGCATCTATGGTTTCTCTCAATCCATTGCAACTCACAAGGCCCTTCAAGGGCTTCAAGGTAAAAGGCCTTTCATATTGTCCCGCTCCACTTATGTGGGTTCAGGCAAATATGCTGCACATTGGACTGGTGACAATAAGGGCACGTGGGAGGACTTGAGGTACTCAATATCTACAATGCTCAATTTTGGAATATTTGGGGTACCAATGGTTGGTTCAGACATATGTGGTTTTTATCCAGCACCCACTGAAGAGCTTTGCAATAGGTGGATTGAAGTTGGTGCTTTCTACCCTTTCTCAAGGGACCATGCAAACTTCGGGTCCCCTAGACAGGAGCTTTACCAATGGGAATCAGTAGCTGAGTCTGCTAGAAATGCTTTAGGAATGAGGTATAAGCTCCTCCCTTATCTATACACCCTGAACTATGAAGCACATATCAGTGGAGCACCAATTGCAAGGCCTCTTTTCTTCTCATTTCCAACTTACACTGAATGTTACGATCTCAGCAGTCAGTTCTTACTGGGGAGCAGTCTAATGATTTCTCCAGTGCTTGAGCAAGGAAAAACACAAGTTACAGCACTTTTCCCTCCTGGAACCTGGTACTCTTTGTTTGATTTCACACAGACCATTGTATCAAAAGACGGGAACTATGTTACCCTTGATGCACCTTTGCATGTGGTCAATGTGCATCTGTATCAGAATACAATTCTTCCAATGCAACAGGGTGGAGTGATATCTAAGGATGCTAGAATGACACCCTTCAGCCTCATTGTAACCTTCCCGGCTGGTGCAGCTGAAGGAGAAGCCAAAGGGAAGCTATTCCTTGATGATGATGAGCTTCCAGATATGAAACTTGGAAGTGGCTATTCAACCTACATTGATTTCCATGCAACTGTCAAAGAAGGAAACGTTAAAGTTTGGTCAGAAGTTCAAGAGGGCAAGTTTGCTCTAGATAAAGGTTGGGTTATTGACACAATAAAAGTGTTGGGATTAAACAGAAATGGAGCACTAGCTAAAATTGAGGTTGATGGAGAACCACTGATGGACATCTCAAATGTGCAAGTTAGTACGACTCAACATAACTACTTGTTTGGACAGGGAGATGTAGGTGAGATATTGATGGTAGGATTGAAGGGATTGAATATCCCTGTAGGTACAAATTTTGCTGTGACCTGGAATCATCTTTAATCATAAAATTATTAAAATAGATATTCATATAATTTTTTTTCCCTATCCTCCTTATTTTGACCAACAAATATTTTTACATTTTTTTTATTAGAAATCAGTTTAATATATTTAAATTTTACATAATGGAAAAACATATTTTATATTTTTATTTTATGGTTGAAAATATACTTTGATGTGTTAATTTATTTTTTTAAACTCTTGAAAGATGGTTATATGTAGAAGAATTATTTTAATTGCATTTTTTAATTTTCAATTATTATATTTCTTCACATAATTAATTTGATATTACATCTTGAAACTATCTTAAAAAAATATTACCAAAATTAAAATAAGTAAAAGTAATATAAAAAAAATCTAACATTTAAAAGATACCAAACTTATTAGAGAACGGTCATCTTAAAAAAAAATGTCTTTGAATTTTGGTGTTAGGGGTCTAAACTAAACTAATGCTAAAAAGAAAGAATGATAATGAAAAAAAAATTGTACAGCCAAATATTTGTGAGTAAAATTGTCATAAATACCAAACATGGATATATATTTAAAGAATAATTTTATTTAAAATAAAAATTAAATTAAATTAAATTAAAAATATCTGTAGTATAATGACCTGCGAATTTTTTTAAATGATTCATATTTTTTCTCCTTGTCCCATTGCAATCCCTACCCGTATCAACCCATCCAATAACACGAAATATATTAACAAACTGTTCACAGTTTATGATCAAGGGGTATATGTGTCACGTTCTTTTTTTTGTCAGGTTTTACTTTCAGTTGATCCTTTCATTTTTTTATTTTATTCTTTACATATTTAATATTTACATCATAATTTTTTTTATTTTCTTAAAAGTTGTGCATTATCTTAAACAATAGATAAAATGTGTTAAAAAGTATTAATTTACCAGACAATTTTATTTGATAATCTATTTATTACTTTCTTCATTCCAGGACAAAAAACCAATAATATTTGAAGTTTTTCACAAAAACTAAAAAAAAAATACTACTTGAATAAGTGAAATAATTGTATTAAATCTTTTTTTTTATTTCGTGGCATTAATGATTTCTTTAATAGAAAATTTAATGCTTCAATGAAAATCTAAAACGTTACTACTTCCTTCTTTTTATAACAGGAGCGTTACTTAACTTGAAACGAAAAGATCAAGGAATACTTTTCGGTTTTCAATTCCAAACTTTTCACCTCCCAATAATTTTGCAACTTCTAATTAACTTTTTAACCATCAATAAAGCCATTGTTGTAGGATTAAGCTTTGGGTTAAAGTGATTAGGAAGTTCTCTAAATGATTGTCACGTTTAATATTTTAATCTTCATCCACTGCATTTAGAGTACAATTTGCTTATTCTTGAATTCATCTTCGTAGGTACTTTAAAATGGACAGTACATTCATCCTAATAAAATCATTATATATAAAAGCATGTATTGCTTTGCAAATATTAAAATCGTGGTTTATCGATTCAGCAAGACCGACCCACGCTGGATTAAGGACACAAAATCACAAAATTTGGATTCTGGTTAAATGTTTTTTTGGCATTACTATGTTCTACCTTTGTTGTTCAAAGAAACAAAGTGGAAAACTAATTTCGCCTTTTGGTCGATTATTAGGTGAACAAAACACCTACTTACAAGAAAAAACGACTCAAGTTTTAGCCGACACAAGCGTCACATGCGCTAATTGTTTCTTGACCTGATTCGGAGCTTCTGATTGAGGTTGAAGTTGTGTTTTTTTATTTTTGTTTGACATTTCATAATGGTTGGTGCACGTTTCTTCAAATATTGCTCATTAAATTTGTGTCGTTTCGGGTCATAACTTCAATAAATATTAATGCAAAGCCATTTTTCCAATAAATTATATTTTTTATAAAAATGTTTCCGAACCTTGTATAAAAATTGCGATTTTTGTAAATAATATTTTGTTTTAATATTTAAAAATTGATCTTCGTTTCAAATACCGAAAGTTAAATTTATTTTAGTTTACATATTGTTAGTGGAAAATCGAGAAAAGTGATCGAAAAATGAAGGAAAAAAATCGATAAACATGTGATTTATTGATAAATCGAAAAGATGGATGAGAAACCATTTGATGTTCAATTAGAAGTGCGTGACACATAAAATCGAGAGGTAGAATCAAGAATCGAAGGAATAATAGTTATATGTCTATTGTCGAATAAAAACCAAGAAATTAGAAGTATATGACGTTAAGGTTAAAAGGAATCGAAAACAATTCAAAGTTCTCGAGATCTTAAAATCGAAATTGAGGGGAAGATTAACTTACGAGGATATCGAAACCTTGGTCAAATCATAAAGAGAAGAATAGTTAAACACGCAGATAGGAAGCAGTTTTTAACCGTGGCAAAGGTCGAAGATCATGGGAACGTGGGTGCGGTTTTAACACCACAGGAAAAGAAACCGCACCATGCACGAAAAACGTGGTAAGCAGTTTCGTTAACTGCTCCTAAGAGACTACTTGAAAGATGATCTATAAATAGAGCAAAAGATGAAAAGGAAAGGAGGGTGGAAAAATTGGCAGAGAACGAAATACTAGTGAGAAGTCTCACGGAGAACGACGAACATCATGAAGTTTCGGCGATCCGGATTTCCATGCTCATTGAGTACCTTTACCGCTTTCTTTATTTTCCCTGGTAATCTAATTTGATGCAATTTATCTTTAGCAACTTTAAGTTTCGTACTTTCGATTCCTTGTCATTTCCTTTAATGAAAGTTAAGTTTCCGCATTTAAGCTTCTTGCTATTTACATTTCTGTAATCTCGATTTCTTATTATTTACATTTCCGTAATCTCGATTTCTTGCTATTTACATTTTTTGCATATTTCGATTTCCTGCCAGTTATATTTTCTGCAATCTCAATTTCCTGTCATTTACATTCTTGCTACTCCAATTTCTTGTCATTTAATGCAAATTTAAGGTTTCTGCATTTTTACCTCTTGGCAATTCAATTTTCTATTTTGCTTTTCGATTCGACGCTTCTATTGCTTTGTTTACTTTGAACACTCTAAACATAAAATACCAAAAACAACATTTTCGATACTATGTAAACTTCGATTCTCATATGCATTTCAATTGAAAATCAATTTGCTAGCCTAAGTAAAAAAGAACTTGCGTGGTTGAATTTTGATTAGAATCAAAACCTCTTAAGAATCGGAATCGATCGAAATTCCACCAGAAACAAATTGGCGCGCCAGGTAGGGGTTCTTGTGTTGAAAATACACAAAATTGGTTAGTTTGAAAGTATATGAGATTAAGGAGTGGGCGAGTTATAAGAATGAGTCAGAATCCACCAAATAACCAGAGTAACAGTGAGGGTCTAAATGGTGCACATCCACCAAATACTGGGGGGCAAAGTTATAATGAGAATATGCCTGTAATATCGACAACCGTGAGTACGTCGATACCTGTGAGTAATGAAAAAAATGCAGGCACATTAGCAAACACCCAAGTAGGATCTAGTACGGTGATACCAAACAATATGCAAACTATGGGAAACCCCATAACAACAAATGTTGTGCCATATATGAGCGTAAGACCACCTGGGTTTTCGCTTAATATGAATGGGGCTGGTACCTCTTCGATACAACGAAACTCGAGATTTAACCTAGGAATGCCTCAGAACTCAGGTACCTTTCAAACTCTAGGTATGCCGCAAAATTTCGGAGTCTCTCCGAATTTAGGATCTCAAAATTTAGTAACCCCCCAGAATTCAGGGAGTGGGCAGAATTTAGGTACACAACAGACACCTCCAAATCTAGATCACAGAGCAAATCTGGATCATGGGAGAAATGCATTCGATAGAGATTATCATCGATCTAATTTTGAGACTATTGAAAACATTAGTATTGGGATCTCCAACAACTCACTAGGAGTACTTAGACAATAAATGGATGAGAGCAATTTTGAGATGGTGAATATGTTATAACAACAGTTGACTACAGTCCTCAATCCATTAATTCAAAACACTACTGCTAGTTTTGAGATATTAGCAGATCAAATGACCCGTATCGGGGATGCATTAGCTATACCTCGACAAACAAGAGTGGAAAATCATGTCAATCAAACATTAACCAAAGTGCTAACATCAATCCCCCGTATCTATTGAGGAAGAATCGAAACAATGATCAACATCAGCATATGGGGAACGAAAACATGTGAGGAATGATATTTATGGGAATCTGAATGAGGGATTTCAAAATATGTACAATCAAAATAATATGCAGTATAATCACATGTTAGGACAAAGGGTGAATTCCCAAGGAATGGAGTTAAGAACACCCAATCAAACGTATTTTGTTTCTCCTTTTCCGAATGTTATTCTCGAGACAGAATTACCTCGAGGATACAAAATACCCAAATTCACCAAATTTGCTGGAGAAATTGGTGAATCCACTATCGAGCACGTGGCTCGATATCAGATCGAATGTGGGGATCTAGCGATGAGTGAAGAATTAAAAATTAAATATTTCCCTAGTTCATTGACGAAAAATGCTTTCACTTGGTTTACTTCGCTGCCGCCCAATTCGATATATAATTGGTTGCAGCTGGAAAGAAATTTTCATGAGCAATTCTTTAGAGGAGAGACTCAAGTAAGCCTCATCGATTTGATGAACATAAAAAAATACAATCATGAAAGTATAGATGATTATTTGAATAGATTTAGACAAATGAAATCGAGATGTTTTACTCAAATTCCTGAATATGAATTAGTCAGAATGGCCTCTGCAGGCTTAGAATTATCGATTAGGAAGAAGTTAGTTAATTTACCATTGAATGACATGGCTCAATTAGCTGATAAAGTGAGAAGAGTAGAACAAATTGAATATGAAAAACAAAGGTATAAGAAATTTGAAAAACCCATGAAAAAAGAAAGAGTAGCATATATAAATGATGTGTATGAGACAGATCCCTCGACAGAAACTAATATTGGAGAAATTGTCGATGAGAAAGTTAACATAGCAGAGCTCAAAGTAGGAGC